GGACATTGGATGCAACTTGGATTGCTGTGGAGCTTGGGGCGGTGCCTCTAGGATTCCTGAGAATCGATAGCACTCAAAGTGTCTATCAGTGCTTGGGTAAGCAGGCTCCTACCTTGGAAAGGCTTCGTAATGCAGTCTCGCGTCGTCGTGTCGACTGGCTTGCAATGAGTCCAAAACAAACCTTGGAAGTAGTTGCTCGGCATCCCGCTTGGTGGCGAGAAGCTGAGCGGTGGAGACGAGACAATACGGAAAATGTCATCGTCAGAAAAGTCTTTGTGGCTGGCACTCCTGCTAGGAGTGATGCCACTCCTGGAAGACTGGTGTCGGATGATACCGTCACCTGGTGTACCTGCGGCTCGGACTGGGAAGTTCGGCTGCATTGACACTTGATGGGGCTTGAAGCAGCCCTTCGTAGATGGAAGCTGGTTGAAGCTTCTGGAAGTCGTAGACTTGTGGGAAGTGATGCCCTATTGGAAGGTGCATGGAAGCTGTAAATGATGTAGCTCGGAAGTCACGGACTTGTTGGGTTCGACTGAACCTAGTTCTTGGATGGTCTCGATGTCTGAAGATGGAATGAGGAAATGGTTGAGTTATTGTTTCCTCTTGTCATGGGTGTTTATACTCATGTGAGACTCGTGACTGCTGGTGTCGTCACTTGTGGTGACTGGTGCCGTCACTTGGTACTGGTGTTTAGTGTTGCCGTAGCTGAGACTGGGAAGTCAGGCTATAGCGACACTTGGGAGAACTGTTGTAGTAGCCGGAACTAGGAGGAAGTTCCTTGCCACAATGATGCTTTGAGTTGGGGCTGGAAGCCCTTGGAAGTTTGGATACTTGTAAGGAAGTATTCGGTAGTAGTTGTGGAGGCTCCAACTTGATGGGCTCCACTGGACCTGGACATGTCACGGTCGATTATGGTTCGATGGTGATGTAGTCGGTAGATCCTTTGGTAGCTTCCAGTATTGATAAAGTTGTAATCGGTTTGGTAGCGGTAGATACCGTTGTGGGCTGTTGTTGCCATTGGTAGCGGTAGATACCGTTGTGGGCTGTTGTTGGCTGTAGATGTAGCCGTTTATGCCGTTGATGGTTGCGGCATTGCCTATAAAGGCGGATGTTATGATGATTTTGTTTGTAGGATTGTAGGTTTTGGATTTGGGTACCCTCACACTCCTGTGCACTTGCTGTGATCAAATAGCAAGGGCATGGACTTGTAATGGTATTGTTGTTACCTGCCTGGAGGCTGTTGTGGCCTCAGGTGTGCCTGTAATCATGAAGGAAGTGCTGTGGATTAGTTGCACAATACACATTCCATAAAAGGTAGTAGGAGGTGCTGTGGCTGGGATGCCACAATACACACTCCATGAAAGTATTCAATGCTGTTGGATGCACTCCTGTGCTTCCTGTAGCTGTAGCTGGCACTGCTCCGGTAGCTAACTCCTGTAGCAGTAGCTAGCACTGGACGTGTGCTCCGGTAGCTAGCTAGCTAGCTATCTGCATGACATGCTGCTCCTATAGCTAACGTTGACCGGTAGCTGCTTGACCGGTAGCTGCTTGGATTCGCCGTGGAATCCTCTTGTGGGTTCCGTACGGAGAGATCTTGAGATTTGGCTCCGTGCGGGAAAGATACCTTTCGAAAGATACCTTTTTCCGTTGTGACGTTCAGTGGCTGCTCGCTGAACTGCTGTTCTTTGCTGTTCCGTGGAACTGGTGGTTGCTGTCAGCGATTTCCTCATAAAAGACGAAGTCTTCTTCTGTTGACTGCCGACAGTAGTTGCCGACACTCTTCTTGTCGCTCAACAGACACAATGGCGCTGTCGATGCTGTCACTGTTCGGTAGCAGTAGCGACTGGCTAGTGGTAGCCGTCGCCGTTCTTCTTGTTGTTGTCGCCGTAGCGACTTGCTAGTACCAGTAGTAGTGGTAGCACCGACTGGCTAGTGGTAGCGGTCGGCTTTTCTTGTTCTTCGATCGCTCGTTGGTTGCTGTTGCTTGTCGACACTTGTTCGTCAACGCAGCAGTAGCGAACTCTTGTTTCTCTTGTTGACAGTAGCAGCGATCGTTCAATCGCTTCGGTCGTCTTCTCTTGTTCTTGGCTGGTGGAAGTTGCAAAAACTCGCAAATTCACTCTTATTCAGCCTGTTGCCGATAGATGCAACTCGGTTCCTGTTGCATTCGAGGACTTGCACTCTTCAGGGCCTGTCAGTGACAGTTTAGTAGCTCACTTCCGTGTATGACAGTCCTTCCGTAGGACCTGTCGTTGCCGAGTAATCGGCCTGGTAATTTGGCTTGTTTCGTGCGTTGGAATTTCCTGTTCCGTCGCACCTCTCTTCTAGTAGCCTCTTTCGATGGCTCTCTTGTTGAGGATAGGAACTCCCACGGAAGTACCTCTGTGGTATTCCTGTTGGAATTTGTTATCTCGTTCCTCTTCTGTGGTAACACCTCTTGTGTCGTTCCTGTTTTGGCTTGCACGGTTCGTCGCCGTAGTAGTCTTGGCTTCGTACAGTACGGTAGCTCTTCGCCTCGTACAGTAGCCTTTGCTTCCTTGGCTCCGGCTCGTCGGAAGCCTTGTTCTTGTCGGATTGACTCGTTGTGGTAGCTAGCTAGATAGCTTGGCGACCACTCCTGCACTTCTTCGTGCGATGAGTATTCTCTTGTAGTTGGTTTTCGTACTGGTGTAGTCGTACGATGGCTGAGTTCCGCAGCTCAAAGTCTTGGTCTTCTTGTAGTTGGTTTTCGTAGTCACACTGCACCTAGCAGTGATTGTACGATGGCTGTTTCCGCAGCTCAAAGTTTCCTTTGCTCACTCCTGTGAGCTTGTTTTTCGTGCTCCGGAGCTCACTCCTGGAGCGAGCCGTTGCTTCGTGCAGATCTTCAATCTGTCGTAGCTCGATCAGTTTCTGCTGTATGTAGACGATTCAAGGATGTAACTTGGTCAGTAAAGTGTCCTCTGTCGGCTCATATGCTTACTTTGGGTTGATTCGGTTGTCTTCTGGACGACCGATCGCTCCGGTGTAGCCAATGTGGTGAGGCACGATTCTTTCGTGATGTTGCCTTTTTCCTGTTAGGCTGTTGGGATAGCTCTCTCAGTGAGGCTAGAGCCCTTTTTGCCTGAACCTTGACTCTGCTGAACTGTTTACCTTATCTTGATGTCATGTAATAGGATGTCAATATCGATGTCGCCATTGGCGACGAGATCTCGAATTCGAGAGATGAAACTCTTCTTGGAAATAGTGTTGGTTGCTAGTAACACTCTAGCTTAGTAAAGGTAAAATACTGTTTTACTGTTAAGCTATTTCCAAGAAGTGATCTTTCTCCATGTTTTCTGGGATTGATTCAACTTCAAAGGATATAGTGAAGGGGGTGACCATATAGATCAGTTAAACTCCCCATGTATGTAACTAGAGAATAGATATAGATATCCCCTATCAACTAGATTGGGATAAACGACTAATTTGTATTGAGGTGTTTGTAATACAACCTCCAACAATAGTAAAATAGTACAAACAACACGGATTGGTCTCACTCACTGGATTTCGAACAGGAAATTGAATTTCGAAAAACTCACCGTTTGGTTATGCAGGATTCCTTCAACAACAAAGAACAAACAAAAATGCCATCAGACGGAAAACACCACTCGCACTGTTAGAGACCTCATTGTCTCGATGCCTGCTGAATGTATGGCCCTACAACCATATACTTAGCTACTGCTAATAGTGTAAGGAAGAGAGTAGTGCCTGGTTGCAGGGCCATACTTTCAGCAGTCATCGAGAAATAAGGCTCGGAACAGCGGAAAAGAAAGCTCCGACGCTCCTTCTGCGGCAGCATAAGACGACAACAGGCGGATACAACACGAATGAATGCCCTTTGACAACACCTTTGTACTACTAATAGACAGCCATCTTGTACAGATAGAAGTCTCGTACGGGTATATCTCATTGTTTCTAGCACGCCTTTTAGCAGCAGCTGTTGCCATCGATCGAAGTTGTTATATCACTAGATCTCTCGCGACAAAAATGGTGCGTTTGCTAGCAGCCTACCGCTGGCTTACACGACATGGGCGACCACCTTAAGGATAAGGGAATCAAATCTCTTTTTTGACAGTTGAGGGCATAAGAGCATTATCAACGCTGGCCTCAAATATAGCGGCAAATGTAGTCACCTCATGTACCGGGTGCATATACAATAAGTCTTTCAAACATACGTTCGCCAGCCATCATTTTGCGGCAAGTTGACTCGGCCGCAAATTGGACGAATTTGCAGATTTTCGATAAACTTCCTTCCTCACATAGCAGCAAATTCAGATTTTTGAGATGAATGGTTTATGTGCTGTTCACCCAAGATAAATTTCGATAAAGTAAGGCAAAAATTACGAAAGGTGCAAGCAAGCATAGCCGAAAAGCGAGGATGCCGTGCCAAGGGTGCCTTCGTCTGTCACATAAGCCCTGATTTGCCGCTATGTTTGCGGCCAGCGTTGATGATGCTCTAAGCCTCCAGCTGCGTGTTCTTTTGTGACGAGCGGAACTACCGTCTACCGTAGAAGTGAAAGGGCCGGAAATCACGATTTTATGAATCCAACCAAATTGATCAATTCGAAACCTAAATATAAAACCGAAACCAAAGTATATAATCGAAACCTAAATATAAAATCGAAACCAAATTACTATGGCAATTAACTAGTATAATCAAGCCGAAACCAAAATATAAGATCGAAACCAAAATATAAAACCGAAACCTAAATATAAAATCGAAACACAAGTATAAATCGGAATTTGGTGTAAATTGCCATTTCGGGCCCTTTCAGCCTCCCCCTGCGATGATGTCGCAGTGCGAAATAAATAGAATCATCAGCGACCCAATCATTTTGAATCCCAAATCCCAGGAAACGCCAATGATATTGCGTGGGTCCGTTGCGCTTTTGACCATCACACGGCACACAGTGGCTCTGTTTATCGGAACAACCAAAAAAATACCGGTAGCAGAGACTGTCATAATAATAACAAGCAAGATGGTGGCTCATCGTCGTGGCAATGGCCGTCCCAACAACTCGTTTGGAGCGAGGCTCGCAAAAAGATTGGTGGGAAAGGTGCGAGAGGCCGAGAGCGAATTTCCGCAACCCGACTATGTGTCTACCCCGCAATCGAGCCCAAAGAAGAAGAAAAAGACTGCCGATGATGACTGTGTTTCCACCCCTGTAGTAGACAGCCACATGAAACCCAGTCCAGCACAGATTCGAGCGGCTGCCGAGCTGCAACGGTGCTGGGAGAAGAGTGGATTAGTGTCATCTCCTCAACGTAGTGCCAAGAAAGAGCACCAGTTGCCCGAGTTGTCGCTCCATCACGACGACGTGTCGACTATTCATACAAATGACGCCGAAATAGAAGAAGACAAGAGCGCCCGGTTGTTGCAGCAATTGTGTTGGTGGAGGCAGCTGTCACCCAACGAAGCGGAGCGAATTGCGCAGTTACCACCGTATCAGGCGTCGTCACATAATAATGTCTCGGCGAGTCAGTTCATGAGAGATGCCAGACAACATCAAAAGCAGCCATCTTCCGAACAACGAGAGACCAAGAATACAGCCGCAATCCACAAGACGACGGATGAAATGTTAAAAATGCCGTCTTTGATACAACAACAGCAAACGCCATCATCTGTCCAACAACAAGAAGAAGAGGACGAAAGCGCCACCACGCTCAGCAGTAGTTCAGTGCTACAAGGCTCTACCACTGGAGGATCGGCCATGCGGGATGAGGCGGCATCAACCGTCGATGGCGATGCCCTCACGGCGAAATCACAGTCTCCCTTGGAATTACTAGCGTCAGAAGCGTTCCACGTTGCGTCCATTGATACATCCCTCTTGTTGGATGATGATGATTATGATTCGGAACAAATGTCGGATCTTCAGACACCATCACCCAACGCTAACAATTTCGGAACAACGACCCCAGAAGCTGACCAACAACAGCAGGCAAATAATACTGAGAGTGAGGATGGTAGTGTTGGCTTGGTGGAGTCAGCGACAACTGCAGAAACTCCGACAACTATCCTTGGATCGGAGCTGCAAACTAAGACGCCTCCATCTGTTGCAAGTCAACAACCATCGCGTAGCGGTTCGATGGCGACAACACCGACAGCTACAATGGGGCTGCAAACTCCCACGACAAATAGGACGCCTCTATCGGTTGCAAGTCAACAGCATGCAAAGGGAAGCCAATTTCAATGCCAAACACCCACAAGTGTATCATTGCAAACTCCAACAGCTACCAGAACGCCCCAAACACCAGATTCTGAGGATGGTAATGGCAGCAAGGTCGGAACTGTGCAGACTCCAACAGCAACCAGAACACCTCAAACACCAAGTTTGCAGAATGGCAGTGGAATCAAGTTGAATCCAAAAAACAGTTTTCAACAGGCCACACCCAACGCGATGGGATTAGTGCTGACTCCAACAGCGACCAGGACACCTCAAACACCAGGTTTACAGGAGGGCGGTAGTGGTACCAAGATAAATCCAACAACAACGGCCCATTCTGATTCGCCCACAACCTCGGGATCAGTCCTCACTCCATCAGCGACCAGGACGCCTCAAACTCCTTGTTCACTTGGAAACAAGTTGAACCCAACCGATACAGCGCATTGTGATACGCCCACAACCTCGGGATCAGTCTTCACTCCAACAGAGACCAGGACACCAAACACCCCTGGTTTACAGGAGGATGAAAGTGGAAACATGTTGACTGCAGAAGAGAAATTCCAGCAGAATACACCCACAACACCAGCAGCAACCAGAACACCTACTACATCTGTAACTCGCATCGCCGTCACCCCAAGATCCGTTCGCAATAGCATCTTGACGACATCCGGGAGCAGCAAAAAGACGACATTGACAAAACCAGATTCCCAAAAGATTGATCTAAAAGGCCTGTACAATCGCGCCTATCAAGTACGCTGGGTGCAACTGCGGGCAAATCGACGTCGCCGAATTCAAGCGGCACGTGAGATTCAATACTGGTGGGTTCACACTACTAATACTAACGACAGCAAAGGCAGTAGGGACACTGACAATCATAATGACGACAATCTTCAGAACGATGAGAGAGTACAGAATGAGATTGTAGCTGCACCTGCAGAAGATTGCATGGTTTCCATTGTGGAATCTACCAGTGATGGCTTGAGCCTTGCCCAGGCCAAGGAGCCGGAAAACGAAGTTCTCAAGCAGGAATCCAACGAGAGCGCTCGTCAGCCCTTGTTTTCTACCTTTTGGTGGGGGTTCCTGTTGCTCGTATTGGTAATGGTCGTCAGCTTGGTGGCTATGGCGGTTGTGTTTTTGACGGAAGATGATTTGATCAGGATGTTGCAGGTATCCAGAAACCACAGCGAGGGTGGTCCCGCTACGGGTGGTTCTTGTGAAGTTGGGGTTTGCCAGGCAGAATTTTATTAAGACTTGACCGCAAGCTTTGTTTATCATGTCTACGGTAAGATGAAGTTATAGCTACGTACTTATTTAATGTATTCCCATCTTTCCCTAGCATACTAGACTACCCGTACGTACGGTTTCAGCAAGCAAAAGGTGAAGGCTTTAGTGTAGCCCAGCAAAAATGCAGTGCAAGGTACAGCTTGTTGGTCCGGGTAGGTGCTGTTACAGATGCGATTGTTCTTCTTCTGTGGTCAGATTCTGGCAAGTTACAACCGAGGGGTCCGAGATTGGACGAGGGACGTTGCGGGGCTTGAATTTCTTGTGTTCCAACCTTCCGAGATTCTAGAGCAGCAGCTGGTACATAGCTAGTTTCCCAACAATTCAACCTGCCGGCACCGGTACGTGTAAGACTGCAAGGATAGCTTCCATTTACCACAAGGTTTAAGTACAATTCAATTTACACGTGTACTAAAACGATAGTACCGGTACTGTTTAATGACGATTGTTCTTCACACTCACAAGCCCGTCAACCCAGAGAAGCCCGACAAAAAGGAAGAAAGTGAAGACAACCGAAGTATAAGCGAATACAACAAAGGTCGACCAAGCG